GGCTTCTCACCGTTCCAGCTGCCAGAGGTCCAGAAAATGCGGCAGGGGCATCGGATTCTCATCGTTCCAGCTGTCCGAGATCCAGAACTTGTGGCAGGGGCATGGGATCCTCACCATTCCAGCCGTCCTAGGTCCAGAAAGCATGGCAGGGGCATAGGCTTCTCACTGTTACAGTTGTCCTCGGTCCAGAAAGGGTGGCAGGCGCATCGGATTCTTATCATGTCAGCTATCCTGAGGTCCTTCTCGGCCATCGTGGGCCGTCCCGGCGGCCCTTGGGGCCTCCTGGTGGCCTGTTGGGCTGTCTTTGGGCCGGGGTGGGGGTCTGGGGCCGCCTGGGGGCCCGGCGTGGGCTCCTGGGGTCCTTTTGGGGGGCCGCTTGAAGTTGCTCTATGGGGCTCTCCGGTGCCCGTTCTGGGCCGTCTTGGTCGGCTCGTGAGGGCCTCTCGGGTCATCTTGGTGCGATCTTAAGAGGACCTGGAGCCGCGTGGGGCCGTTTCTTGGCCTGTCATGGGAGGAGCGTGGCAAAACCTCGGAGCATGCATGGTTCTGGCTATTGTTTGGGATTCGTGGAGCGATCATCGGGGTCGTCCTGGGCCCTCGTGGGCCGCCCCAGGGGTATATTTGGTCATCTTGGGGCCAGGGTGGGGGGCTGAAGCCGGTTGGGAGCCTGTCGTGGGCACTCCTCCTCCTCTTCCTCCTCCTCTTCCTCCTCCTCCTCCCCCTTCTCCACCTCCTCCTCCTCTTCCTCCTCCTCCTCCTCCCTCCTCCTCCTCCTCCTCCTCCTCCTCCTCCTCTGCCTCCTCCTCCTCCTCCTCCTCCTCCTCCTCATGTGCAGCTCCTGGGGGCTCTCCTGGATGGCTCCACGGGCGCTCAGGGCGCTCCGGGCGCGCGGGGCCGCTCCTGGGCACTTCGGGCGCTCGGGGGCAGCTTTTTCACTATAACCCCTTCTCGCACGCGCAGCGCCCCGTATCGTAGTATAGATGGCGTCCCGCTCCACCTTCGCGTTCACCATCACCCTCAACAGCTGCATTGCTTGCTGCCACTCTCGGCCCTTCTCGCACGCGCTGATGCCAGCATTGTAGCAGACGCATGCTGGCACATGGAATCGCAAGCGGGAGGGCCCAATTCCTCCAGGCTAGCTGGGTAGCCAGGGCAATCACCACTTCCACTGCACATGAAGTAATTTTGGTGGAACATGTCAAGATGCCTGCACATCACTCGTTCACTGTGGTGCGCATTTCCAGAAGTTGGGGTGGACTCGTGTATTAAAACCATTATTCAAACTTAGCGAAGATGTGAGGGCTGAATGTCGTGGCAAATGTCACGCTCCGCTTATCGCAGCGCTGCTGCGATCATTCCTTTTGTGTGTGTGACTCCGTTGCGATGCTGCGGGCGTGACCGCCACGACAAGACAAGTGTGTGTGTGTGTGCGCAAGATTTCCAAGTGGGAGGGAACTCGTTGGTGCGCTTTGGCGTCGTTGCCTGTGGGCAAGGGGGGGAGGGAAAGCTGCATGAGATTTGAGTGAGCTCAGCCAGCCTGTAGGGTCCAGAATTCAAAAGGTCTTTGGACATGGTGCTGAAGGGGGGGAGAGGGATAGAGAGAGAGGGATAGAGAACTACAGAAAGCGTCACATAACATAATGGCACAACATTTGTGGACATTGTCACCCGTCTGCGTCGATCTCGCTCAGACACGCGCTTTGATCTGAAAGGCACGGTACTGCAGACTTGCTCCCCCGAAAGCATTAGAACAAATTCGCCGGCCCAACGGGCAGGGCGTGCTAAGATCTCCGGTAACTGGTTAACAGTATTAACAATATTTCTAGTTCGCGCGCGCGGGGCGGCCCCTGGGGGTCCCCCGGCGAAAAGTACCCCGACCACCGCCCGACCGCCGCCCGACCGCCGCCCGACCAAGTCTACTCAGAGATGGTTTTCCTTCTGGGTGCGGCCTCTCAGGCTCCCCAGAGCGCGCTCAGAGTGCCCCAAGAGGCCCCCAAGACTGCCCAAGAGGCCCCCGAGACGCCCAAAGAGCGCTCGAAGACGCCGAAGATGACCCCAAGACGGCCCAAAAGGCCCCCAAGACAGCCCAAGAGGCCTCCAAGACGCCCCAAGAGCCTTCCAAGAGGCCTCCGAAGAGAGCCCCAAGAGGCCAAAATCGTTGATTTTCATTTGTTTTTTTCGATGTTTTTTGTGTTCTGGCTTTTTCGGCTTCCGGACGCTCCAAGACGGCCCAAGAGGCCCCCAAGACCGCTCCAAGACGGCCCACGAAGCTCCCAAGACGGCGCCGAAACGACCCAAGAGAGCCCTCAAGACGGCCCAAGTGCCGCCCAAGACGGACCAAGAGGCCCCAAGACGGGCCCAAGAGGGACTCAGGAGGGATACCGAGAACTCAAAAATGGAGCCCTCCGTCCCAGAAGGCGCCCAGGAGGTCCCAAAGAGGCCCCAAGAGGCCTCCAAGAGGCCCCAAGATGTCGCCAAGAGGCCCCAGGAGACTCCCAGGAGGCCCAAAAGAAGCCCCAGAAGGCTTCAAACATGTCTCCCAGGCGCCCCCGAACGGCCTCTCAACAGACCCCAAGAGGCCCCCCAAAGAAGCATCTTGACGACGACTCTATTTCGCCCCATCGAGAGACGACCCCCAGGGAACTGCTTCACCATCAAAACTCCCCACGCAACGCGTCCGAACGACACCCGCCCCCAAGAGCGCAACATGGGCAACGAACACACAGACAAAAACCAGCGATGCCATATCACGGGCCGGCGGAATGAGCGAAGCGATTCAATAATTTCTAACTCGGATGCGGTTAGCTCGGTCCTAGATGTTGAGGTGCATGGTCGCACAGCGTGACTCGGCCAAGAACTTCTGGCTGGAGTAGATGTTGCCAGATTGCCGGCAGGGTCGCAACCAAAAGGTCTTGGTCGACCATTGACTTCTGGCGGGGACAAAACTCCGTGGCCGCTGGTAAGCTCCCTCGCATTGGCTTCCGGCCATGGGGCCCTTGCGTCAGTTCCAAGGGGGGCGCCATGCATGTCGTCTTCAAGTTTTTACCAGACTCAGTCGTTTACGCCTGTCCCCTGTTGCGGGCCAAGCCAGCGACGCCGTCGTCACCATGCTGATGCAACACACCCGCACCTCACATACAAGCGCTACGCGGGATATCAGCACACCCTTGTGCCCCCCCCCTCCCCTCCGCTCTACAGTGACTGATCGGCGAGCCAATGTTCCAGCATCCCAGAAGGAGTTAACGCACTAACTTAGTGGATGTGGCACATGGTAAAAGGGAGGGGAAGCAAGGAGAAGCACAGAAAGAGAGAGAGAGAGAGACAGAGAGAGCGAAACATATATATATATATATACATATATATACATATATATACATAGAGGGATAAGGAGAGAGATAAAGGAAAGGCGCGAGAGAAAGAGAGAGAGAGAGAGACTGAGAGAGAGAGAGAGAGAACGAGAGAGAGAGAGAGAGAGCGAGAGAGAGAGGGAACGTCAGACAAAGAGAGAGAGAGACTGAGAGAGAGAGAGAGGATGACCAGACAGCTCGCCTCATTGTTCCCCGACCCCTCCCCAACGCCAACTGGGCGAGTATGCGCACTGCGCAGCACCGCGCGGGACGCGTCGGCCCTAGGCTGGGCCACATCGGCGAGGATCCCACACCGGCAGGCTCGCGGCCCACGGGTGTCTGCACCGAGCACAGCCATGGGGTCGAGAGGCCTCTGCACTCGAGCGCGCGCGCGGCCGTGGGTCCTCGCCCCAGTGCTCCAGCACACGGCGCTGCTCGCGGTGGCATGGCGCCAAGAGATCCAGCTCAAACGGAGCAGGGGGTTGGGAGCAGGCATCCTGGCTTGACAGAATATGTTGATCTCTATCTCTCCCTTGCTCTCTCTTGCTCTCTCTCTTGCTCTATCTCTGGTCCTACTCGCTCAGCGGGATCGGTGCTGGTCTGCCCACGACTTGGTCGTGGGAGCGGGTAGCGAGGGCGAGGCGGAAGCGGAGTGGGGTGGGGGGGAGGATCGGGGAGAGGGCAAGCCGCGTGCGCTCGTGCCATGTCCGCCTCCCAATCCCTTCCCCTTGCGCTGTTTGTTTTTTAGCTGTCCGCGGGCGCGTGCCATAGCCGACCCGGAAGTCTAAACAAACTGCTCCATCGTGTGGCGTGCAATCGGGAAGAGGGGAGCTGCGCACATGGGAGGAGGAGGAGGAGGAGGAGGAGGAGGAGGAGGAGGAGGAGGAGGAGGAGGAGGAGGAGGAGGAGGAGAGGAGGATGAGCAGGAAGAGGAGCAGGAGGGGGAAGAGGTGGCGGGTGAGCAGGAAGATGCGCAGGAGGATAAAGAGGATGATGAAGGAGGAGGAGGACGACGAGGACGAACAGTAACAGCAGGAACTGGATAGGAAGGAATGGGAGGGGCAGGAGGACCAGATGCGGCGGGCGGCAACGATGAAAAGACTCGGATCCAGAAAAGTGGCCCGCGCTGGGGCGAGAGCGCCATTCTGAACGACTGGAGCAACGCGCCCATCCGAAAATGAGGCCCACAATGCAGCGGGAGCGCCATTTTGCAACACCGACAGCAGTCGTGTTGTAAAGCACCATAAGAATCATAAACAAATGACGCACAATGTAAAACAACAATACACGAAGAGGGCTGGAGATCTTCCGGACAGAGCTCGGGGGGAGATATGATAATAGTATTCATGATGTGCAGTTGTGGGGGGGATGGGGATGGGGACGGGAAGGGAGGGGGAATGGATGGAAGGAGAGGAAGGGGAAGCAGTAGGGAGGGAAGGGGGTAGGGGAGATGGGGGCACGAGACGTCGGGCTTTATCTTCGCTTCAATCATCTCGGTGAGCAGCCACAGCGCATGCTCCCACTGACCACCTTTCTCGAAAGCGCTGATCAGAGAACCATAGCAGACGACATCTGCTGCCAACATCGTGTCCTGCATGTCACGGAACAGGCTGTACGCCTGCTCCCACTGACTATCTTTCTCGCACGCGCTGATCAGAGAGCTGTACAAGAAAACATCTGTCTCCACCTTGATTCTGGCCATTTCGCCGAGTAGCCACAGTGCTCGCCGCCACTGCCCCCCTTTCTCACACGCCATAGCTCCGGAACTGTAGCTGAACAGTGCAGACCGGTGGATGAACACCCACTTTTTCGTGGCGTAGGCAATGCATATGGGCTGGGCATGGTACGGTTGAGATGGGCGACTGGCACCGACTGAACTCCTAACCAGAACCGAGTGTTGATCTTGGCCCAGAGACCTGCGCGGCTGCGACTCGCAATGCAAGTGCATAGCGAATGATATTGGTTGGAACGAACACGCAGGCCTGGGAGCTCGATTGAGGGAGTCGCCGTCGAGTGTGCATGGCAAATGCTGAAGGACGACTTTCATCCTTCGCGGTGGCCCTCCCAGGAAATTCCGACTCACTTTAGGTCCGGCATGTCCTCCTAGAGGTGGATTCAGAAAGAAAAATACGAAACAGTCAAACAACATCAAAACTAGTCAAAAAGGCACGACAAATCATCACCATACCATTTGAGGGACATGCCCGGCTTAAGATTAACTGTTCACAAGGAGTCCTCGCAGGAATCCCCATCCTGGAAATGGCGGGGGAAAGAAGGGGCGAGACGGCAAGGGAGGGAAAACGGAGGAGAGAAGGAAGGCAGAATTGGTGAGAGGGGGACTCGCTTTTTATCCGTGTGTGGGCCAACGTGCGCACGACTCGATTTTGTCACACTCTGCCACCTGAACTTCTTGAGGAGACTTAGAAGCCGAGACTGCGCTTTTACCAGTCGAAGCACCTCTTAAATAAACCATGATCGTGTTGTGTGGGACTTTTACGTGCGCCTCGACTAAACAACCAGTTTTTTTTGTGAGAGCCTCTGAACGTGCTTCGCTTCTTGCGTAAGCTGTCCTTGTTCAGACCTGAAAGTGGCCACCGCATGCAATGTACGGAACCGAACTCTATATACACCGACGCCTTTTCCGGGTCTGCACCGAAATCTGCAGCCAGGAAAACGGATCCTGGTGTATACGGAACCCTGGTGTATACATGTTTCGCTGCTTCCCGGGGAAAGCGGGAAAAAGTATACACCACATCACCCCGACTTCGTCCCCGACCCTCAAAAGTCGTGGGATTGAAAAACAGCCCGCCACTGGTAATGTAGATATTCCAGTCTCCGACAACGGGACGCGTCAAGCTGGAGACCGCTTCGCTGCTCGGCTGTCATGGCTGCTCGGCGACCGATCTCGAATATTGCCAGTGCATGCTCGCGCAACTGCTATTCGCTGCCACCCCAGAGCCGACGGGCCTCTCCGCGGAGTCGGGAACTCCTCCTGCCTGATTGAGTCCGCGGAGATCCCGCCATAGCAGGTCGCACGAACGCTGACGAGACAATGTCTTACAATGGGTCACAGCCCGTCGAAATCCGCTACCGTGCCCCCTAGATCATTGAAGCGCGAATGCCAGGTGCTGTCAGGTAGGGCTTCTGTGAGTCTTCTAAGGCCCCCCCCCTTCGTCACAAAGAGTGCCACATATTCACCGCCCTCCTCTCGCGAAGCTCTCTGGACTACCCGGCGCGTCCTTGGGGTCCTCCAAGGCTCCCCATGGCTCCCAAGACGGCGCAGAAAGGTCACCAAAGCCTAAAGGATGGCCCAACATTGTCTCAATAACCACACAACAACTGCCAAACAAAACCTCAAGAAGCGCCATAGTGAGCCCACTCCGCTTTCTAGTCGCGGAAGAGAAGTCCAGCAGACGCGCCAAGAAAACCAATATCACACAAACACCTGCAGATTTCCGCCTGCTGTTGAACATTTTGAGTTTGCCAAGCCGCTCGGCTCAAGATGGTTCCAAGAGGGCCTTGGAGCCAATTGAAGACCAAGCAGGCTCAATGGCGACGATCCCGTACAACCATGGTAGAGCCATGGCGGGCCCACAATAGAATCAGCCTGTGCCCATTTCGATGCTGCGCTGGCAGCTGGGCGCTTAAATCAATCGCCCTCGCACTATCTAGACATACATGCCTGCGCATGCGCTTCGCTCAATGGGTAGCTGTGGGGTCTCCTCACTGCTGGGAACTGCGAGCATGAGTACTTGAAATACAGCCGCTCTCTCGCCAAGATCATCCGCCTTCGTCTGCATTTCGGCCATAATCCGCCTGTTTCGTTCATATTGCTGCCAGTGAATATTTGACTGGCGTGATGTTGTGTTTCTTTGCAGTCGCTCTGGTCTTCGTCAGTGAACGTAAACACCTTTCGTTCTGCCACCCTTCTTTACATACCCCCTTGTCTCGCTATCCAGTCTCCCCTTACTCACCATCCCCAATTGTACTATATATGCCTCTTAGCTCCATCCCCTCCCATCGCTTCTTGACTCCATCCTGGCTTCCCTCCTTCCCTACTTCCCGTCACACCTCCTCCATCCAGCCCCCGCTCCTCCCGTCCTCCCCGCACCCCTCTCGCTGTCCCGCTTCGGTCCCCCCCGCATTCTCTCTGCGAGATTTCCAAGTGCACTTGCGTGCAGGGCACCTCCTGCCTGCTCGACTCGCCCACTCGCCTCTGGCTTTTGCATCGGTTTGGTTCTGGGGGGCCCTCGGACGGGGCTCGCGGTTTTCCGATCGGCCTCCGAACTTTCTTGCGCAATTGGTCTTGCTCTCACTATCAGACGCCATTTCAGCGGTCAGCTACGTGATCACAATACGTGGGAAACTACATCATTGCAACATGTGGCCCCCAAAAGCTCAACACACACCCATTTGCATCTCGTTCCTGTTTTGAGGCTCCCTGGAAGTTTCGAGGGCCTCCTGGAAGCTCCCGAATGACTTCGTGGAAGCCCTCTCCCTGGAAGCCGCGTGGATGGCCGCTATTTGGCGGCGCGCACATGGCGGTAGGGGGGAAAGGGGCAGGCTTCTTCGAAGGAAGCTGCTTCTGAGAAGGCGCGGGCCGTAAGTCTATAGATAAAGCCCGCGCCTTCTAAGCAGCAGGGGTGCTTCTAAGAAGCCTTAGCCCCTCCCCCTACCCCCCTCTGCGTGTGAATGGCCGCTCTGGGGACTCCCTTGCGACCTGGGGGTTCCAGGCCACCCTGCAGGCCCCTGGACCCCCCAAAACCGCCCTGGCCTCTGGGGAGCCTCCCGGAGACCCCCCGGAGCCCTTGGACCCCTGGGGCAAGCCCCCGGATGCTCCCGGGGAGCGCGGAACCGCTCTCGCGCCACTGCCGCGGATAGGTTCGTGCACGGCACATGTCGCCGCGCCGTTTGTTCACGACGCGCCCACTACTTGGATGACGCCGATCGACGCCACGGCAAGCCATCGGCAAGCCCTGCGCCCCGCGCCCTGGGCAGACGAAGCCGGCACCGCCCACCACCGCGTTCGAGGCAGAGGCTGTCCTGGTGACCGCGGCGCCCTCTCAAGGACGGGAGGCCGCGCGCCGGAACCAGCGGCGCGGTGACACATGAGGAGGAGGAGGAGGAGGAGGAGGAGGAGGAGGAGGAGGAGGAGGAGGAGGAGGAGGAGGAGGAGGAGGAGGAGGAGGAGGAGGAGGAGGAGGAGGGAAGAGGAGGGGGAGGAGGAGGAGGAGGAGGAGGACCAGGAGGAGGAGGAGGAGGAGGAGGAGGACGAGGAAGAGGAGAAGGAGGAGATAGGCGCCCCTGGACGCCCTCCGGAAGCTCCTGAGGCTTCTCTGGGAGCGTTCGGGGACCTGGGTCTGCGTCCCCCGAAAGGCAGGTTACGGGCCGCACCCCGCTGCGAGGCGTACCAGATCTGATCGCAAGGGGCCGCAACCACCTCTGAAAAAAACGCCTCGCCCCAAAGCAACGAATCCGGCAATATAATCGACAGATTCGAGTGGGCTCTAAACCGGCTTCCCGCAGCTCGCTCAACAACGACAGCGCTCGCTGCCACTGACCACCTTTCCCGCACGCGCTGATCACAGCGTTGTAGCTGATAGCATTTGGCTGCAGCGTGGCCTCCAGCATGCCATCGAACAGCGACAGCGCGTGCTGCCACTGACCACACCTGCCACACGCGCTGATTCCAGCACTGCAGCTGATCACATTGGGCGCCAGCACCGCCTCCCGCAGCTCGCTGAACAATGACAGCGCGCACTCCCACTCCCCGCTCTTTTCGCAGGCGCTGATCCCGGCGCTGTAGGTGATGACGTCAGGCTCGAGTTTCGTTACCCGCATCTCGCCGAGAAGAGCCAGTGCTTGCTGCCATCGGCCGCCCTTCTCGCACGCGCTAACTCCGACGTTGTAACTGAGCAGGGGGGGGCCTCTTGGGCTGCCTGGGGGCGCCCTTGGGGGCCTCTCGGGCCTCCTTGGAACGAGCTTTGAAGCCTCTTTGGCTGTCTTGGCGTGTCGAAGGCCCGAGAGGGCGAGAGCGCGATGATCCTTCGTAATACCCGGGGGAATCAAAGACTCTGGCCTCTCGGGGCCCTCTCCTGCGAGCGGGAACCCGACGGCGACGGCCGAGATTCCACGATCTCGGGCGGACCCCGCGGGAGGGAGGATGAGGATGACGATAAGGATGAGGATGAGGATGAGGATGAGGAGGAGGAGGAGGAGGAGGAGGAGGAGGAAGGAGGAAGGAGGAGATGGAGGAGGAGGAGGAGGGAGGAGGAAGGAGGAGAGATGAGACGACGGAGGAGGAGGAGAGCCCAGTGGGAGGAGGAGGAGGAGGAGGAGGAGGAGGGAGGAGGAGGAGGCTGAGACGACGAGACGAGCCCATGGAATCCGCCACTGTCAGATTGACGTGCCTACAACTTTACACGGGATTCTGGGAATGGAGGAGGAGCCCTGTTGCTTGCAAGAGGGTCCCTAAACAATAACTTTCTAGGATGCCTCGCTCACGCCCCCAAGCCGGATGACGGGACGGCCCCAGCGCCACTACATATCCCAGAATGGATCATGACATCCTCCCACATGCGGCCGGGCATCACTCTGTTACCAACTTCCTTGCGTATGATTGCGCAATGATGCAAATACGGCTTGCTTGCATGCATATGTTTACCCCTCGCGTTTGTATGCACACCACAATTCACTTATTGTTCGCTTATGCTTGTTGCAACGCCGGGAACAATTCAAATGCAAACTATCTAACGGCTGCATCTACAATTCATTATACACATCTGCGTCCGCTTCAAAACGTGTCCGCGTCCGTGCCAGCATCTGGACTCACACCCGTACTGCACTTGGATGATCATATCCACATGCATGCGTTTGAACATACCAAACCTGGCCCTACGTTGTTTTCCCAATCGTCTTCCTCCATAGTTCGTTATATGGCAACCTAAGACGATGCGCAAAGGCTGTGCCTTGCGTCCATCCCGACATGTTGCATCCACACAAAACTTTGCATGTATTCCACCCTCATCGCTGGCACAACCTGCATCAACCACATTATCTGATTCAGCACTTGCCATCCAGCTACATTGTTGCATCTGCTTCAATCGTTTCGCAGAGAAACGCAATCGTCTCAAATTCGGGGTTCAGCGTGGTCTCTGACAGGCCCTCAACCCGCCGGAAGCGGGGAAACTCTCGTGCCACTGCCGAGATTCCGTGGCGCACGGGATCTGACATTGCGTAATTTGTGACGCTTGGCTCCACCGTCTTTTGACACATCTCTTTGAGCAACAACAATGCCTGCTGCCACTGCCTACATTTTCCACACACGCTCATGGTCAGATTGTACAGAACCGTGCCGCATGGTGCGCACGATGCAGATGCATCGCGAAACAGAATTAGTGCGACGGTCCACTGCTTTGCTTCTGCCTGGCTCTTGATCGCATCTGCGAGAGAAGTGCCGCTTTTTCGGAATCCGGGCTGATCCGAATTTGCCGAGCACTGTGCCACACCATGGTGTCTTAAGCTGAGCATTTACCAAAATGGCTCCAGAGCGGTGGGGGGAACGGCGAGAAGGAACCGAACAATGATGGGGTGGCTCTGAAAGGCAGAGAACATGATTAGAAGAAAAGAACTTGCGTATGAGTAGGAATGAAGGGCAAGCAATCTCTCCGTGACGATTTCTCCATTTCTTCCACAGCGCATGGGCGCCTCATCGGGGGAAGCGCACAACACCGAATAACTAGCCACGAGGCGCACCCAACGGCAGACAACTGTTGCAACCTCGGCGCAACATGCAACATGCTCACTCACTCACTTATCTCATGCACAAGCCGTACCACGGTCCACACTGTGAGAGTTTTCCCTTTCGGCGTTTCGACAACGGGCGGAAAGGAGGGGGAGGGGGGGATCTGACTCCGGACCTCTGCTGAATGCGAGTGTTTGCAACAGTGCGTCCTGTCGCGGAGACCCCACCTGCTCGAAACAGGCGCCAGAAACAGCCAGGATCTACTCCACGGGGTGGGGTGGGGGGGGGGGAAGGGCCCGCGCCGATCGGCAAAACAATGAATACGAAAGCGTCCACAGGCTGCTCTCTGGATTCCTGTCTCCGGCTGCGGCAGAGAGAGACGTGCCACTTGCCCTCGCTCGCACGTCCATTTCCCATGCACGTTTCGGTTTCGTGCGTGTTTTTTTTAATTTTTTGTTTCATGCTATTTTTTTGTTGCTCGATGGTCCAGGATGGTCCTCGATGGTCCTCGCCGAGGAAAACTGCGCACGCCCGAGCGATGCCGGGGCCACGGCTGCCATGGCGGACGGCCCCCGCCGCCCGCCTCCGCCGCCCGCCGCGCCGGGCACCGCGCGCGGCCTCCCTGCCGCCGAGGGAGGGGCCGCTCCGCCCGCCCGCCCGCGCGCGGCACCCCGAGGTGGCGGAGGCCACGCAACAACAGCCACCCCCCCCCCCTCGGAAAGCGCGCGGAATCAGCAGAAGCCGCCCGCAGGACGGAGGAGCGGGAGGGGGACCACGAAGGGGAGGAGGAGGAGGCGGAGGCACACGAGCAACAGTGCGTGGCAGGCCTGGCGCGGCGCACGCACGCGCGGCACGAGTCGCTGCCGATGGTGCCAACCTGCGGCATGCCCTGGGGAGGCCTCGTGGGGGCTCTTGGCGGACGGCGTCCTGGGGGCATTCGAGGACGCCAGGCGTTCCTGGAGGTTCACGGGGGGGGGGGCGGGGGGGCTCCTGGGTGCTCATGGATGTTGTGGAGGCTCTTCTATTGGAGGCCCGTGGACCTCTCGGGAGAAGGCCCACTGGTGAATGATAATGATGACTAACTGTCAGACCACCCCAACCCAACCCGAAGACCCGAATTTTGGGTCGGGGGGCGTAGGGGCTTCAGATGTGCTTTTAATGATCCCCGACACCCCCCCCCCCCACTGGAAATGGAGGACAAGGTGGGCGGTGAAATGAGGGACTGGCTCAGGGGGAGACAACGACCTGGAATTGGCGATACATCGCCGATAGATCAGAGGTAGGCCCCCAATGGGGACACCTTACGTGATTGGCGATCGTGTATACCCGAAAGAAAATCGGAAGCAACAGGGACGGCTCAAGCTGAAGCACATCCAGCCTGAAGCAAATCTGGCCAACGCCAGGCCAAGCCAAATACAGCTGGCCCTGACCTGCGGCTCGGCCAGGACTCGGGCATCCCTTTCGCGGTGGGCCTCTCGAGGCCTCTGGGGGCACCTTCAGCGGCCACGGCCGGATTTTCGGGCCGAACATCCCACCTGACTCGAGGGGCGGGGATCTCGTGTGGTCAGGAGCGTGGCGGCCCCGTCTGCGCGCCCGCCGGCCCCTTCTGAGACACGAGGACAAGACAGATCCGGCGCCGGTCGCCCAACAGGCGCAGGTGGCTCTGGGTGCCAACTGTCTCAAAAAAGGCTCCGTCTCCCCCTCCAGAGAGCGTACAAGAAGCCGCGGCTCGCGGAAAGGGGTCGGCCCGCTTCCCGTCGACCCGCTCGCCCCCTTCGAGGCCGGAGGTCCGCGAAGATTGTCGCCGGCGCAGTGCCTCGCTCAGCTCGCGCGCGAACTGGGGCGCCAAGGGGGGAACTGT